ACGAGGGGGGGGGGGAGAGGAGCAACGGTAAAGTCTACCGATCCTTTTTATAGATCTCTACTCTCTATCGAAAATGTTTATGAATCCAATTTCAATACGCGAATAGTAGTAAATTTCGAAAAACGAAAATTAAAAATTTGTTAAGAATGAATTTTTGATAAGCACTTGGCGCTTCTTAGAGTTTTGGGGTAAGAGCCGTGCGGTCCGTAGTAATTCGCTAACCAAAAAGCATCTCTATCTTTCTTGCTCCGTGGCCAGATGCATTAAATAAGGAATAGATTTTTTGTTTTATATATATTATATTTATCGTGGATATTGGTCGGGTCGCTTGTGCCATCGGTTTATCCCCTTATCAATCTATCATTGGTCAAATTGTTTCACGTATTCTGTGGTCATGTCATGAGTGACGTGACAGTCACGTCATAGGCACCTCATAGCTCGATCAGTTTTTCAAACATTCACTCAAGCATTCAACCGAGATCCTTATTAAGCCCTCGACGCAGCCATGAATCATCGTAAGGCTAAATAGTGACGGACTATTTGGCATTATATCAGCATGAAAGTGTGTTGCCGCTAACATATTTGCGCGTGAAATTCCAAAGGGAATGGTGTATGTAGGCTGTAGATGAAGAGAAAATTGAAAGTATCTACTGGACGGTGCTTGTTAATATAAAAATACCAACAAGCGATACAACAATTTCACGAATTACACGCAACTCGATTCTAGAAACGGCCGCGGATATAATTTGAATCGGACCATCCCGTATCACGTTTCATCCTCGACTCGTTAAACGTAACCGCTCGATAACAATCGTCGAGCACGCGATATGCTTCTTCATTCCGATTAACCCCCCGAAAATCCACAAAGCTCCATTAATTATTTCCACCAGCCTATTGTCATCGTTAAACGGCTCGATTATCCACTTTCCACAAAATCAGCGTTCGAAATGTGGCCAATTGTCCGCATTCTTCCGCAAAGTACATCTATTGAATGATTCTCGAACAGAATCATTCCGCCAGTAGCTTCGTGCGATATTCTATGCGCAATGAGTTCATTATCCGATCGACTATTGGTCGTGGTCGCGAAGGGATTGTTCCAATCCCCGCGTCGCAACGAAACGCATTGCCTTTTCAATGAATAGCATTATTTCCGAGGAGAAGTTTACGCTTTGATGGAGCTGGCCGCGCAAAGCCTGGGTAGAGGCGGGTCCAACCGAATTTTCGCCATTGCTAAACGAACGGCAGGGATAGGTTGAAAGGGGTGAAAAGGGAAACAGGAATTAGGCGAATAATCGAGTTTGGTATCTCGACGAACAGACGTTCCTCGATAAAAGCGAATGGCAAGCGTATGAAAAATGGTTTCACTATGGAATCTAATTTTAAGTCAGTTTTTATCAATTTTAAGTCAATGATTTTGCATTCTACACCGAGAACTCGTAGGGTTTGAACAACCCAAATTTCGTAAAAGTAGTACTGAAGCTCTGTAGGCAAAGAGGCAAAAAATACCTATTTCCTATATGTATAACATTTTTTTGTCTTTTATTCTTCATATGTTGGATCAAATTATGAAAATATGATATATATAAACACGTAAAGTTGGAGTAGGAAGTATAATGGTCGAACTTGTCTTCCATTCATGGATTTTAGGATCATTGGTTGAGTGACAATAAAGAGCGTTTCAAATTACACTAGTCGAAATTCTTACTGTTCGGTTTAGAAGTCAAATATTTTGCAATCCCTAAAGCTACTCCCAAATGTTAAAACTTATTCCTTATTTCCAATTTGTTACATTTATTACGCCATTGGCAACTTCTATGCTTGTAATTTCAAACTTGTAAATCATCCATGTTGTCACTTTCATAATACGTAACGTGCACAATATTACCGTCCAATCTATACTGATTTCTGATATTGTAATACGATACGATATAAATTCGTTGTATTCCTGGTACATTGGCGAAAAAAAGAAATTCTCATCGCCTCCAAGATCTAACGGATAGATTTCTACGCGTTATCTATAATGCCAGACCAACCTATCCTCTGCGCGGAACGCACCGTAATATCATCCTAGCACCGGATACTCACAGATTCTTGCCCTTTCAGCATTACTCGCGCGAAACGACAGCTAGCACTCCCAGCATTTGGTTCTCAGTTGGTCTTTGATTGGTCTTCGATTGATCTTCAATTGGTCTTTAGCCGAAAGTGCAAGTGATCTCCTCTGTTTCTTTTTCTCCGATCTTTTACTTCGAACTGACACCGTACAATGCGACGCTTTAACGCCAGTGTTTCCCTTTTGACGGAACCCACGCCAATCACGTAATGGAGGCTTGTTGAAGGGCATCGTGTCTTTTTTTCCTCTGTCTGTCCGTCTCTTTCCCTCTCTTGCGCTCTCTTTCTCATTCTCCATTTTTCTCTCAACCCTCGTACATCCTCGTACATTTTTGCATCGCCGTACATTTTATACGCATCTAACAAGGATACAAATATCAAGTCCCTAAAATCAGGCCGAACATCCACACTTCAGACCCGGAATTTCTCTCTCTCTCTCCCTCTCTCACGCTTAAAAGGGATAATAAAGCGACGTGGTGCCATAAATATACGGGCTGCACCCTTGCGGTCCTTTATCACTTTTGTTAGCCTCGTCGTCTTTGACCCGCGAAAAGGCTAGCTTCTAGCTGGAAATCCAAACTGGCTGGTGTGCCGACCTAATGCGCGTTTTTATCGCTCCACTCTCCAAGTATCGGTACCTTTTGTCGGACGATCGATTGGTTTAGATCGAGAGATACGATTTCGTTGTGTCGGTAAAACTGAATAGCGTAAATCTGTTTAAGATCGTCTCTTAGATTTGTCTCTTAGTCTTTTCTTTTTAAATCGTGATCAAGCATCTTTCAAATAATTTTAGATGTAACAATATATTATATGCATAAGATAGCATACTGTAACAAGTGAATATGGATTATCATCGTAAATGCTACTTACCATATTTAGAAGAATGATAAATTATTGCGTTACTGTTTGTTCGAATGGCTTTTAATAACTTGATAAATTGTTCTCGTGTTAATTAATCATATCCCGTATTTAAATTTCAGTTTCCAGACTGTTACGTCCACTAACATACTAACTTCAATTATAAGAGCCTTGGTCTATCCTCAACGAATATTGTGCCAGTGTATCGCGTCTCTATACGCTAACTCATTGTCGACGATATATATTATAAGCAACGGTGTAAATTAAGTGGAAAAATATATAATTTATAATTTTGTGAATCACAATGTTATACAAACTGAATCACCCCTATTATCTTAACGGTAATCAGGGGATCGATCAACTCGTGGTGTCGGTTATTATAATCGTAACGGGAATTTACGACTCCCGTTGACGTCTCTCCTCGCGATTGCGTCTCCCCGCGATTGGTCGAAAATTCACAGACATTTGATAGCTTAAAGATCCTCCTCACAGTGAAATTTTCCATCCTTTAAATCGATCGATATATTTTCTTCGTGTTATCTAAAGATTTCATAAAGTTTAGTAAATTGGCAGCTTATTATTTTGTTCAAAGCTTAAATTCTTTAAATCTAAATTAGCGACCGGTTTTCATTCGATATTATATGCATTTTGGTTGAAAGTATGGTGGTATCGTAAGATGGCATAAAATTTGCTATTATATTCATTTGGCTTTAGATCTAAATTAGTGCAACTTTTGACTAACTCGTACGTAAATCACCTTGTTACCATGTTACTTGAAAGCTAACGACGCGGCAAACGACCCGACGTTTAGGCGTCTTCTGTAAATTAGCAAGTTACACTTACATGTCGCTTCAAGTTTCTTTGCCGATCTAAATTTGAGTGTTTATGATCGATACCGACGAGATTCTTTACGTCTGAATTCACGTTGTTGTTGATAAAAGTTCCTATGTTATTTGCCAAATTAGAATCTCAGACTGGTTGTCTGCAATTTTTCTTTTGGATGTATTCGATGAGAAGAGAGGAGAACAGTTGGTAAAAATTTGAACAATCCGATTTTCCCACAGATTATTCTGTGA